ATGACAACATATTTACGACAAAATCGCTAAGGCTCCATTTGTAAAATGGGGTCTTTATTTTTTTTTGGTTGAAATATGAGATTTCGTAGGAAGGCTCCATTGGGCATTCTGAGGCTTTAATCGATTTTGTCGCAAAAATTTGTAGGGTTCACCCTCCCTGCTGATGCTTTCGTGTTTATGTTCATATTGAGAATGAAAATGCAGCTAATTATTATTTACTTGCAGTACAATATAAAAGTTCTTATTAAATTTGTAAAATAAATGATAATGTGATTCTTACCCATAATGCAGTTGTTGTTGTAATAAGTAGCAATAATTATTGACCCGTTTTTAGCGTAATTATCGAAAATATCATGAGCAAAACATTGTAATTCATGCAGATGCTGACAATTAACTCTCTTAGCAAGCTTGCATTAGCAAAATGTTTTAATCTATATAAAGTTTTTTTTAACATGACTCTGTATTTTTCTTTGTATTCTGAATGAGCAATTTTAATATCCATATTGTCTGCATTGTCCTTGCCATGTTTGTAAAAGATGAAACCTTTATGCTCTTGATTGACTGACAGGTCTTTACACTGGCAGTAGAAAGTATATAAAAACTGTTTAGGCTTTATTTCGTTTGATTACCTGCTTCGGTTACATACGTGGTTATAGAGTCCGCCTCAAATGCGAGATGTCGCGGATTCGAATTCCGGCTGAGTTCAGGGTCGTAGATAGCGATAACGGGCCCTGGGGTAAAAACATACGGGCCTGTCCTGGTTCTTGTTCAAGCAAAATTTTCTTTTACAAAATTTAAAAAGTGTTGTTCCACCAGACCCCCTTCCGGGCCCGTGAGATTGGGGATATATTTCCGGTCCCCCACCGCGACCCTCGTCGGCCCTGGTTGAGTCATAACAGAAACTCTTAAAAAAGGAACTAGCAGAGTCCTCGCTGGCGCTCAGCATTGAAAGGTTAATGCTAGGACTGGCCTGCCTGGTATCAGGATAATAAGACTAGGTGAGACATGATGCCAAATGTATGTGGCATGGTACCCCAATGCTAGACATCACTTCAGACATTGTATCCATATGACTAAAATTATTAAAGCTCCGTTAAATATCTAAATCACACAGAAACTCTAATGAGGTCATTCTGGCTAGTATTTTGCTTAAGAAATAAAAAAAAGAATCAGTCTCAACTGGCGAATCCGCGATAACTTTAATCAATTTTTACATGGTAATACTTTTTGTATTGAAATATTACATATTTGTTATAGTCCATTGTACTTTCAGGGCGTTGGAAATCTTGAAATAATAACTAAAATTCGGTAGTAGTCAATGTATTGATACACCGTAATAATTATGTATTGTCCAATAATCGGTTTATATGTGGCGGTGTATGAAAGGCAACATTTAATTTAAATCTTTAAATCTTTGAGCGCCGTCGATGAATACTTTAATGGAATGTAAAATTTCTTAATGCTGAAACTAAAAATATAAATGAAAATAATGAAGTGAATTGGTTTATTAGGTTATTATTATTATTATTATTATTATTATTAATATTATTATTATTATTATTATTATTATTATTATTATTATTATTATTATTATTATTATTATTATTTTGTGCTGTGAATCAAAATATATGGATCCCTTACGATATGAAGAAATGGGCAATTAGGATGGATTTTTGTCCATGCCAGAACTAAATTCATAATCTGCATAGCGAGACTTAGAAAAGCATGCTAACTTTAAATTGGATACAATGTACACTAATGAGCAGAATTGTTATCAAAGGCTTGGTAGTTGGTGGGGGTACAAAATTCTCCATTTACTATGTGTGTTCACGATTGAAACAGGCACAAGTTTTACCTTTCGTGTATAAAAATTTTTTTACGTTGCTTTAAAGGAAATAATTATACGATTATAACTATGCATATAAAGAAACCGATTTAAAACGATTGACTTGTGTAATCAAAAGGGTGACTACGTGACAGCTGTAATATAGTTGAGCACATTCCTGTATGCGTAGACAATAAATGTATGATCAGGTAATAACTCAATAAATATAAATCAGTGAAAATAATTATTTTACCTTTTAAAAACAAAACATACTTCACTGAAGTCAAGATATTCAACAGTAATTTCAAATTTTATTTAAGATGTTATCTGAAACAAGTGAATTCGATCACCAGGAAAATCTCGCTTTAATTACTATTATCCGACACAACTTTTCTGTGCATTTCGTTATATTCTAAAGTTGATAACATTAAGTTTTAGGCATTTGTTTTCATTAGCTGTTTACATTGATATTTTAAGTGAAAGTAGAATGCTAATTAAAGAAACTATAGCCGATGCATACAATAGCCATGCTCAAGCTTTTTTGAAATATGCGTTTCTAAAGAGAACTATAACATTTTAGATGTATCGGGATCTCACTAGTACATATTTATATTTCTTTCTCCATAAACGCAATATATCAGCAATTTGAGTCAACAAAAGAGAATTTGCATATATGTTAAAATTTGAAACAATTGTATTGTACCTTAAAATAAATAAGTGTGTGATATACCTATGATTGTTTCAAGTGAATTAGAAAGACTGTGAAGATATGCATTCTAATTCTTTTCATAGTATGATAATTTGGCAGTATATGAACCCAGATTGTACATTAGGATTCACCTTGCATTGATTTACTCTCAATACAAACTTAATAAATGCGAATCAAAAAAGAAAAGTCCATGTTACTTTATATTACTCTCACTGCATCCTTCTTGAGAAACACCGATGAGTTGTAAGTTAAACGTCTATATAATACTTAACAAAATCATCGAATAATATGAATGTTTTAATCATTGTTCATAAGTAAATGGGTTAGCCAATCACCAAACAAACAATTCAGAATTTTATATCTCTTACGCTAGGGATCAGATTTATTACAATTACATGTATCGTCTTTGAAAAGTTATTAAATTTGTTTCATGGTGTCCCGATATTGGTCGAAAAAGTTGACGTACATTTGCAGAATAATATATCTTCAAGTCTATTGTTTAAAATGACACACTAACATATGCAGGGCCGATAGGGTAGTGGGGGTGGCATCTGGGGATATTTCCCTGGGGCTAGAGCCCGTAAATGTGTCAGAGCCGAACAATACTTTATAGTTTATACAAATATTTTGTTTGAACAAGAACTAATCCCTAATGGTAGAATGGTACCAATTGTACAACCCCCAGGTGGGCGGAGCTAAAGTGTAGGATACATTGCATTCTGATTGATTGATTGATTGATTGAATTTTAACGGCGCACCAGCACTTTTAGGCTATTTAGCGCCATACAGTAGGTCATATTTGTAAAAAAGTTCAATATTGACCAGCGATATAGTAAAAAATCCATAGTAGATAAATATAAAATGGTAAATGTTGGTAACAGTTAACGATATTGGTTCCCGATCAACGGGAGATGTAAATGATGTATCTTGATGAAAAGATGTAAATAATAGTTGGTATTTGTATTAGTTAAAAATTAGTTTGGGTAAGGTCATAAAAAGTTACAGTTTAAAATAAAGATTTACTTCCTTTAGGAAATCTAAAATACTAGTGATTTGAATAGTATCAAAAAGTTCCTGCATTCTGAAATAAACAACAAAACTAGATGTGATTGGTGCATTATGTAAGAGTTGTACTTTCTGCTAAGCTTTAAAAAAAGTTGAGCCTCTTGGCAACATGTGTGATTATGTTAATTCATATCTAGACCACATTTTGTATTTTTTATGATTTTTAAAAATGTGGTACACATGACTGAAAATGTATCCGGTGTAACTATATAACTCTTACCCCTGTCTAGTTCCAGCAGAGTTATCTCTCTTAAATGCAATTGAGTACCTATTTTCGACGTTATCAAATTAACAACCTAACATTGTTCTCTGTGACAGTGTGTGACATGCATACTGAGGAAGGGAAGAAAGTATATATTTATTTCGCAAAATCTTTAGCATTGCAGTCTATGGAAACACAATTATTACCGTGATACCTAAAGTCCCTTACTCCAGGGCACATGATCGCTCTCTAAGGCCCTGACTATATATGTACCACATCCGTTATGATGGCGATGCGTCTCCCGATTAGGATTACATTCTTGACTTACTAAATTTGGAACTCAATTTTAGGCAATGCACAAAACCTAAAATATTAAAAATATCTTAAAACAATTTGGCAACTGTTGCTTTTTCTAACAATGAACATGCAGCGCCCGTACTTGACCGAATAAGAACATAAAATGCAACTTAAACATTTTGTCTCACCTTTACTCACCTAAAACTTCGCAATAAACTTAAAATAAGGGGAGACACGCAAGATGTGGGGTTGTGTACAGACCTGGTTTGATAATCGTCTCTAACATTAATTTTCAAACGATGCTTAAAGTTACCCCCATGCTGCAGCATAGCTAAATATAATGCTCGTTTGATCTATGTCACGTGACAGTTCCCGTAAGATTCAGTGCTGCATCAAAAATGAACTTTGTCCATTAATTTATGACGAACGTGGGGGTTGCATTTACACAAACCAATTTTTTTTTATTGAATGGCATTGGACTGTGTGTCAACGCGATCATGCCTGAATCATTTTCTTATAAAATGTATTCGGTTATTTTAGGTTCATGCAGAGATTGAGCGAGAAGCAAACACCTACATCATTTGCAATGTTGTGAGGAACAATGTATAGTGCCTAAAGCTCCACAAACAGTATACGTTTCATCAAAGACAAAGGAATAAATACATGGGCAAATATGCTGAAGCTTGGATGATTTTTTCCCCCTGGCTTTACCTTATGTATTTGAGGCTAAACAATGCATTATTGAAAAATTTGCACCCAGTTTGTAACAGTCATGTACAACTATTTATGTTCCTTATTATTTTCTGTGGTAAATAAATTTTAATTTCCGTTCGTTTGACATTCTGCTTCAGGTACTGCATCTTTTAACCGTAGTTACACGTCTTCTTAACAGTAAGATCCACTCCGGTAGCCTAGTGGTTAGAATGTCTGCTTTGGATGCTGGAGGTCGTGGGTTCGAACCCTGGCCTAGTCATATCAAACACTTTAAAAATGGTACCAACAGCTGAATAGACAACGTATACGTTACTTTGGTGCTTTTTCGGGAAATAGGGAAAAAGTTATGACTCTTTTGAAATTTTGGCAAGTCCTCCATGATCATTTGAATCAAATATGGCCCTGAAGAGTTTGGTAGCATTTTAGGATAATGGTAATTTTATCTTTGAAAACTTGCAAACTTATGAAATGAGTGGTGTTTAGCAGATTGAAATAGTTTGATACAATGCTATTTTTTGTTTTATTTCAAAATTAATTTTGTTTTATTTTCTGACCAAACATTCCTATGGAATAGTAACTGGATCATGAACAATACATGTAAGTAATTTTATGTTCTGGCCAAAGGAGAACTGTTATGGGTGGAATGGAATGGGGTACAAGTTTTGAAGTCCATATGGGCATAATTAATATGTCGATTTACGCTTGTGATTATCAAATATTGCACAAGTTAAATTGCTTAACAAAAGTTCAACCAATCTAAAACACAGCTATTTTACTCTGGCACACCAAAGGACTTACATCTGCTACATATTTAATATTCTGTACATTCAATTTTCAACAGATATTTCACCAATCCGGTGGCCTAGTGATATCTATCTATCTATCTATCTATCTATCTATCTATCTATCTATCTATCTATCTATCTATCTATCTATCTATCTATCTATCTATCTATCTATCTATCTATCTATCTATCTATCTATCTATCTATCTATCTATCTATCTATCTATCTATCTATCTATCTATCTATCTATCTATCTATCTATCTATCTATCTATCTATCTATCTATCTATCTATCTATCTATCTATCTATCTATCTATCTATCTATCTATCTATCTATCTATCTATCTATCCGCCATGAATGCGAGGTAGTGGTGCATTCGACCCCCGGTCGAGTCATACCAAAGACATACCAAAATGGTACTAACAGCTTTCTGGCTTGGTGCTCAGCATTAAGAGGTTAGAGTTAGGAATAGTCGGCCTGGTGTCAGGATAATTTGACTGTGTGGGACATTATGCTACATGTCTCGACGTGATGCCCCAGAGCATGTCTACATCACTATAAACTGTCACACTGCAGAAAACGTAGCGATATGACTGAAGGTTTTTTGTTTTAAAGCTACGTTAAAAATCATAACCACAAACACACAAACACACATACTCTTAACGGTAACCTTAAGATGTGCTCATTTCATCAGCAGGGTGTGGAAGCTTGCAATGCTTGCCAGTATAAGGCAACCAATTTCCTGGAACCTGTCATGCTATCTTTTACTCATCACTTTCCTCAGGCAGCCCATGTGAAAAGGATTCAGTGTTTGGCACGGCGCCTATACCCATTCTATATTGCAAACATGCAGACGCGGCTTTGCAGAGCTTCAGTTTAGCTTTAAAGCTGATGCTTCTGCACCCAACACAATGTTTGTAGTCTCTCAAAGGCCACGCTTGCTTTATTAATTATATAGTCGGTTTATCATTGATGAACACGACACATGACAGCGTGTTACTACGATAGGTGCAATTATGCACTGCCAGAAAGGTGTGCCCATTTTCTGTGATAATAATCTATATGTTAAGCTTTCCTGGTGTAGTTTGGTGCATAGCTTATTTTACTGATATTTGTCACAATCAGACTGCAAATCTCCATACTCAATTACATGTCAGATTTAGATTGGCATTTAAAGAACAGTCGTCAACTTCCTGTAACATCATCGTTGCCTGAAGTCGCATCAAATTGAAGATCTTGCCGTCAGTCTGGGAACTGACGTAATCCCAGTGTCATCGTCACGGAAGGCATAATTAGCCATGGCAGAGAACAGAGTTTTTGCCAACATGCTTCCTTGCTTGAATCCTTTTTCGACTGCAAATGGTTCAGATAACCTACTGTAGTCCACGACACAACACAAGCGAGCATGCCATCAAGGAATTTCCAAATCTTCACGATGAATTTCTCTATGCAGTCTAATTGTTCCATGCAATTCTAAAGGACCAACTGGCTCAATGTGCCAAAGGCTGTTGTCAGGTCGACGAAAGATTGTTATTATTTGATCGTAGCTATTACAACTTAAGCATTAAATGCATTACTAACAAACATATGAAAGCAACACTATTTAGGTAATCATTATCAATGATAGATATCCTAAGCTTTCCATACTTTTATTTGATTTTAAAATGTATTGTATGACATCATTAATTAGTATTATTTTGTGCAGTGGATTACTTAGCTTACAAAGTAGAGAGATTCATACATTACTACAAACTGACATATATTTCTATTGACCTTTTATTATTAAAAATGCAATTGCTCTTTTTTACTGAGCATTAATTATTAGTGTAACATTTTTCAAACATATTATTGTACCCAATGATAGCAGAAAGTATCTGGAAAACATGGGAAAATGCCTTACTGATTGGTACTGTTTTTTAATTTGTTTATGAGTGAGTACCCTTAGCTACAATTGTTACAACAGTTAGAATCGCAAGAGTATGTACATATTTTCGCGATAATAAAGAAGGGAATAGGTAATAAGTTTCAAGATTTGAAAATTACTAAATTTACCAATAATTATTAATTGAATTCTCCTTATGTTCCACTGTCATTTTCTCAGAATATATTTGTGATATTTTGAGTCGATTTAAAAGTTAATTTATCCAATACACGTTTCGTAATCTAGGTTCAAACAGAAGTTAGGAATGTCGAATATAATGACACTTTTTGAATAATCGTATTTAACAACTTGTTGTGCGATGTTTAAGTTTAGGAAACTACGATTAAATCAATTGAATGGATAAAAATAATTATAATATAGTACCTGATTAGATAAGTTATTTCAGAGCAGAGAAGATTCTACTGCTTGCTGTTCGAATATTTATAAATGTGTCTTTATAATTGTATATTTTTATGATAATGTTTTTATATATTAGTTATTTCACCATGTTTTTGTCTTTCCATTTACATGTAATATGTAATTGTCTTTAAGGATAATTTATATTGCAATACGGTATTCAATAACCATTCAAAAGCACAGCTCTGCATTTATGTTATCCATGTATAGGACATGTACCGTGTCCTATATCATAAATTTACGTATTCATCGAATCTTCAATTCTGCCCATGCTGAAGACTGATATATATTTATGTAAAAGCTGTTGAAATACACAATATGGCCTTTTAAATATGAATTCTGATCAAGTTGTAAAACGTGTATTAAGTTTCATTTAGTCACATTACAACTATCACAAAACAGTTGGAGTTTTATTGACAAAATGGTTACTTAACACATTCATATATATATATATATATATATATATATATATATATATATATATATATATATATATATATATATATATATATATATTTATATATATGTTGTGCGTGAGTGAATATTGAGCTATATTGATTTTGAGTTATGGGCTAGAATGTTACTATATTATTTTTAAAACTAATGGAAATGTTATTCGCCCATTGCAATACCACAGAAGACACTATAGGTCAAAGTATCAACTTGTGCATCCCTATTCCTTGGCAATAAAATGAAATTTTGAAAATTATGGTGCAGATAATATTGCGTCCGGAAATAAAAGATTTTTGGTTTTTCCAAAAATAAGAATAGATCAATCAGGACGTTTTATATGAGGTTATCAGGCAACAAACCAAGTCAATATTACCTATAGAATGGCAGCAAAAACTATCCTATATAGCTGTGCATGAGGGTTTCATACTTAGAAAAGACTGGAACCTTTCCAACGGTCATTAAATAATTTCATTGCTCAAAAAGGCGATAAAAGTAATCCAACAGTTTGTACAAAGTTGGATAATACAAATATTTGATTACTTGCCTGTTTTATTTTGGCGAGCATTTTCATCAATAAAACTTAATAGCTGAACATTTCCCGCATCAAGAAATACGCCAGAGGTTTACTTAACTCATAGTCTATTAAATATGATATTATCAATGTCCCATCTGAGTCTTCGGCAATCACTAGCAAGTGTCCCTGTAAGAAATATCAGATTAGCCGGAGCTTAGAATACCGCATTCTGAACGTAAAACACAGAACTATGAAGCCTCACTCAATACTGCAAATAATTTAAGACGGGATATACACTAGGTTTTCTAAGATATATATTACCAATTATTAGCAAGAAACAAAATGATATAGAAAAGAGGTACATTCCTCTATTTCGCTTTTGGGTGAGACAGCTTATTTAGGAAAATAATGTAATAGCTTAAGTATTATATGTTGCATGATAGGTAAATACAAAATGTAGCATACTAATATATTCGTAAAACTACTAATAATATTACTATATCTTATCAATCCTATTCTTTACATATTCAATGGAATTTACCCTGTATATTTCAATTTTTTCCAGGATTCTCTCTGTGGAAAGGAAAGAACTGAGGTCTTAGCCATCAAGTTTACAGGAGTATATATATATAGTTTATGCCTGTAGGTGTGATATATAGGAAATAAATCCTCCAATCAAAACCGAAATACTGGCATAAAAAATAGTTACTTCAATCTCTCGAAATGCATCTTTGCGTGGCAATATTCAAATTGCACATGCTAATGACTGAACGATGAAAAGGAGAAATTAATTAAATTAGATATATTAATTTAATTTAATATATTAAATTAAATTAATATAATTAATTAATTATATTAATTAATATATATATATATATATATATATATATATATATATATATATATATATATATATATATATATATATATATATATATATATATATATATATATATATATATATATATATATATATATATATATATATATTGTACAACTTTAAAAATTGCTGTATAATTTCATATACATAATGCATAATGTTTGGCATGATTTTACATAACTGTGAATTAAATTTCTATATAATTTATATGAATAGCATTGTATGTCTCGCTTTTGGTAGATAATAATGATTGGATGCACAGTGGCTCAAGTTGTGGCGCATAAACT